GTTACAGATGTTTCGTCACCCTGCTAGGTAACATCATCAGTGCACCTCCGGTGAAGTGTTGAGTTCTGTCCCGCTCGTTATTTATATGAAAAACGAAAGAACTGCGGATGCTGTGAATCAGGAAACAAAACAGAAATTGCTGGAAAAGCTCAGCAGGTCTGGCAGCATCTGTGAAGGAAAAATCAGAGTTAACATTTTGGGTCCGGTGACCCTTCCTGTTATTTATATGCCTTGCTTTGCTGGGGTGATTGGCATTATTTCCGGTTCTGTTTTTCAGTGGTTTGTATATTGGGTCCAATTCAATGTGTTTGTTGGTGGATTTCTGTTTGGAATGCCCCTCTGGCATGTCTCTGTTTGGCTTATGCTTTTATGGATGTGTTGTCCCAGTCGAATTAGTGTCCTTCTTTCTCCATATGTATCGAGACCAGTAAGTGTTGGTCGTGACTCTTGATGGCAAGTTGGTGTTCTTGTATGCTTATTGTCAGTTATTTTCACTTTCTCCTTTATAATATTTTTCACAGTCCTTGCATGGTATTTTGTATATTACATTAATTTTAATGGTTGTGGAAATGGGAATCTTTACGTTCGTCAGTAGCTATCTGGTGGTTGTTGGTTTGTGGGCTACCCTGATACCTAGAGGTGTTAAGTAGTCTTGTGGTCATCTCTGATTTACGGTAGGGTGATTATAGACACAAACAAACACACTGGTTCGGCGAGCAAGTCTACAACCTCAGAAGCATAGATTGCATTGGAAAGAAATGCAAAGACTGAGTTTGTCAACGTATGGAGGAAAGCCAGTTGAGTTACATGATCAGAAAAGATGCAGAATAAATTTATAAATCCAAATTAACTAACGTATGATATAGAGAATTGATGCCTGTAAGTTCTTTACATGATAACTTCTTTTTAGGTACAAGCGGCCGAAGCTTTAGATTATTTGTACAAACATTTTAGGGGCAACCTGGAGAATAATTCATGATAGATCAACTACTGTTTTTCTTCAAACCTTTCCCTACCAGGACCCCATTTCAAGGTTTGAAAACTTATTGTGATTCATCAATAAGAACTGAGAGATTTGGGAAGTGGAGAATTCTATTAGAAACTAAGTACAGCTGTTAAAACTTGGTTAGAGCTTGAAGGTGGCCATTGTTCTCTTGGAACTAGGAGCTGCACGTTCCGGTATCAGTTTTTAGTGGTGTAATAAGCCATAATTTCTGCCAAGCAACCTCCGGCACTGAATTTAATTTTACAAATATAGAATATCAAGCATTCAGAATTTAATTTTCTTCTCATTTTCTGTACTTTTTCTCTTAATTTTAGCCTCCTTTTTCCCTTATTTGTTTCCTGTTCATGATTTCAGTAGACTTTGTACTTCCTGTTATGAACTTTCAGTGAAGACACTGCAAGCTGATTTGAGGCATGTTTTGATCAGATGCTCAGTGACAACTAATCTCCACCCAAACACCGACGGAAACTGTTCAAGCAGTAGTCAACGTACTGAGTGGCAAGTGCTGGTTCTTTGCCACTGATGTTCAGGCCATAAAGTCTGTAGACAGAAACAGGACCAAGTCATCAATGTCACTGTTTCTGCTGAACACAAATCTCCTCCCGCTCCTCTTCATCTAACTCTCCTAGGATGCCTTATTTCTTTATTTCTGTCTTCTTCAATTTCACCTTGAGTGTATCTGTGATTTTCGTGTACTACTGTCTGGCAGTTTGTTCCATGTTCGACATTCTCCACATCAAACTCCATAAACCTCGCCCCTCTGGTCACCCCTCAGCCTTGTGCTGTTTTAGATGATGCTCACATGATTAGCACTGCCTATCTTCAGTGGGAGTGTTCATGCTGCAATCTGTGGACAGGATCATAAGATTTCTTTTTAAATATTAATTGCAGTTAATCACCAAAGGTATGATACACGGTATTGCTTTTATAAAGCTTGTTCTAACAAAAAGACTTTAACTATGAGGAGAGGTCTCTAGGAAATGGCTGATTGTCGGAGAATTGAACCTTTACTTGAAAGACAGAGCAAGATAACTGCTGTAATATCATTTAAGTAAGCATTAACTTTTCCCAGACTTGGCACACAGTCTTTCTCGGCTCTTCAGCAATTACAGATGTTTTGCTTTCTCAGGTTTTTAATACTAGAACTGTCTTGCCTGGAAACTTCTCCCCATAGCTAGAGCTAGGCACATCCTCTAGCCTTGTTTTAATGCCCCCAAAAAATTGATCTTGCCCAGGTTTACTCGAACTGTAATGGACTTCCTGTGCAGTGAATCATAGAGCCCCTTGCTGCTTTCTTCTACACTCTTGATGGGCTAACTGTGATATACACTATTATTTTAGTGCTTCCTCTTCTCATTCCCTGCCAAAGCCCATCACTGTTGCATTACATTGGCCTTGAATCCAAACAAATATGCTGATTAGCTATCCTTCAAATCTCTTTTATCTTGGCAGTGACTGGACAGCTTGAAGCTCAGCTGTTCACAACCTGATATTTTTAAACACTTTACTGAAATTTGGAGGCTTTCATCTAATACACTGGCTGCTTCTATTATCTTCAAGTGCAAAAACCTTTCACCTTCTTCCCAGCAAAACAATATGGACTCCCTTGAATCTCATGAAACCACACAGCTCACTGTCAGGCAGACTTCAGAGCAGGTCACAGGACCACCTTCATTTTAGCCTAATTTGGAAACAGTGTCAAAACAAAATCTAATACATCTCATGATTGTAACAAAAAATGTTTTTGTCTCTTTGACATTTGTAAGCAATATATTTCCAAATCAAATGGGTAACTTCCAACAAAACTTGATCTATGTAATTTCACACTGAAAAAAAGAACTGATTATTGAACATCTAGATTGTAATCCTGGGATCTTTTGAAAGATCCATTTGTTTGCAGTGGAATTTGGGTGAATTGACATTTTATTTTAGAATGTTGTGAATTGCTTCAACAGCTGTCATGAGTAGAGTTTTCAGACCAGGTTGTTGAATGTGGATTGGCCAGAAGCCACTTTCACTGAGATGGAAGCTCTTAATTTTAATTTAAAAAAAATCCCGATATCAAGCAGGAAAAAAGCCTCTGGTTAGAGTTGATAAATTGTAATGTTGAGTCAATACAGCATGGCAAAAGTATGTGTTCAATTGAATATCCTCTTCATTTGTTTCAATTATTGTTGAGGTCATCTGTTTTGTGTAAGTTCAAAATATGTGATCTGAGTAATCATCTTTACTTGTATGATCTTGGAATATACAAGTATTATAGTACTTTGAATTCTGCCTGTCCTGTTTATGTAACTGTGGACTGATCCGGAAATGTGCTTTGTTCCAACTTCTGACGTAAGAATTACCGTATGTTCAAATGGTTTTGCATTGCTGTGATTTTCAGGACATTGCAAAACTTTGCAACTGATGTTACTTTGCTCTGTAGTATATTCAATCATTGAGGTTAAAAGCAGGGACTAATGTACGTTTGATGATTGAGGGAAGAATGTTGAAAGGAAGTTATTCCAACTCTCCCCTTCTTCAAATATTGCTATGGGATGCTGTTTTCCAATCTGAATTGCTGGAACAGATAGGCCTTGGTTCAACAATTCAGCTGATTTGTGGCATCTCTGAAATTGTAATGTGCTCACGAAGCAGTACTGAAATGTTACCCTAATAATGTGGTTAAGTACAAAAGCAGGACTGAAGTGCCAATTCAGGAGTGTTGTGAAGTTGCTGTGAGTTGAATTGAACTGATTTTACAAAGTGATGAGCAGAAGTCCCATATGTTCCAAAGATGATTCACTATTATTTGAGGTTAGTTGTTGGATTTGGTCTTTAATAATGTTTTAATAGTATGCTTTGGTTCTTAGAGGTTATAATCTAATCTTTCATGGAAAATCTTTTTGAGGCATGTTGGTGATAGTGGGGGAGGGGAATCATGAGTTCAGAACATTGCCTCTAAGTACACGCTGATCAGAATGTTGTTGGTATAAACTTCAAAATCAGTGCATTTTGCAATGATAGTGTGCTGCTGTCACTGAATTGTACGCAGCTATTGGTCCTCGGCAAAATGAAAGAAAGAAAAAAGTCTTTTCCGGAAAGAGAGAGCTGTTGAAACTTTGGAATAAGTATATCATAAAATACTTGAAGCATTTGACCTAATTTTTTTTTGGGATGATTGGGGTGCCTGTAACTTAATTTCCAAATTAGTTGTCAAAAAATTGCTTTTGAATTGCAGTGATTAGTGTCGGCTTTTTGATTACTACATCTTTTTACAAGCCGAAATAAATGTCTTGCCTCAACTTTGAGTGATCATTGTCAGTTGGGCTAATATTAGCTTTAAAATATTACCTTCAGTATTATATTGCAAGAAAGAAAACTGATTACAGGTTTTTTTATAGTGTTGCTGATTGTGTTGAAGCAGCCTGTTTTCAGTGCTGTTTTTAATTAATTTCATCGTGGGCCAGGTGAATATTTATTGCTTATCCCTGATTGCTGGTAAAGGTATACTTTGGATCATGAGCTCAATCATTTGCTGCACAATTATTTTGATATTGTGACTCTCTTTGCCATCTCTTGTCTTATACGAAGTATTTTCCTAGAAACTTTATGTGAATCTTTGAAAATTAATTTGTCAAAATTTTGGCACACATGTTTGTTTTGGTATCACCTGAGCCAATGAGAACTGAAGTAATCATGTGATGCAGGTATATTCAGTATGGTGTTCAGGGATTGACAGTATTCTGATTCAGCATTTTTGTCTTTAAAGATGCATAAGTTTGACTTGTATACTTTTCTAATGTGTATTGTGTTGTTGTGGTTTACCAGTCCCTAAAATTGTGCCCTGTGAAGGTCAGATGGTTTAATGAAACATATATTGTGACTTGTATCCTGATATAATTTTAATTGAACAAGATATGGAATATAGCTTATCAGAATTTGTGTTTTAAATCAGATAGAAATGTATTGTGTTCAGGTTTTGATTTGCTGTCTTCTCATGCTTGAGTAGGAGACTGCTGGAGGAGACATTAAGGATGCCAGACATCAGTATGAAGGAGCCGTGGTGATTCTTGATGCAGGAGCACAGTATGGAAAAGTAATTGACCGGCGTGTTAGAGAACTTTCTGTACAGTCAGAAATCCTGCCACTTGAGACACCTGCGTTTGCAATCAAAGAGAATGGTTTTCGGTAAGAAATAACTTTTTTGGTGCACTTTAACTGGATGAGTGTATGTATGTTTGAGTTTGTAAGTTAGTTTTTGACATTATTCAGAATATGATTTTTAATGTTGTAAGTATTTAGAATTTATAATTGTTTATGCATCTTTTAGATAATTGAGCCATCAGCAGTGACAATATTATACTCTGCAACTTAATCTGCAACTTATTCCCCTCTCAACCATTACCCCTAGGGAGTCAGACCTGCCTTAATATAGTCTGCAGGAGGGCATATCAACAGCAGCACTGGGCATACTTAAAAATGAGGTATCAGCCTAGTGAAGCTACAAAACAGGACCACTAGCAGGCCAAACGGTATTAGCAGCGAGTGATAGTTAAGTGATTCCACAACTAATGGATCAGATCTGCGCTCTGCAATTCCTCCACATCCAGTCGTGTAATAGACGATCAAATAATTCACTGGCCACAATATCCCTATCCTTCATGGTAGTGGGAACCCCGCATGTCAGTGCAAAAGACAAGGCTAAAACATTTGCAATAATCTTCAGACAGAAATGCTGACTGGTCCATCTCTGCCTTCTCCCAAGGACCCCAGCCCCTCGGATGCTAGTCGTTAGCCGATTTACTTCAGGCATTTCTCGATATCATATGGAGTGAAAGCACTGGATATGGCACCGTCTGAGGGCCCTGACAACACTGCAGCAATAGTTCTGAAGACTTGCTCTGGAACTTCTGTGCCCCTAGCTGAGTTATTCCAGTACAGTTGCAACATCTACTTGACAATAAAGTATGTCCTGTACACAGTGCTGGAGAAGTCCAATCCTGTCATTTATCAGTCTCCTCAATGGTGCTGTCGTTGCAGTACTTGCTTAGTTACTTAATTTGAGCTCTGTCAGGGCTACTCAGCTCCTGATGTGATTGGTTCAATTATGGACAAAGCAGTTGAATTCCAGAAGTGTGGTGAGAATAACTGCCCTGGACATAGAGATTACATTTTAATTGAGGCATCAAGCAGCCCTTGCAAAACTTGAGTCAATGAGAATCAAAGGGAAGATTTTTTGCTTGTTGGCATCATACCTGGCATGAAGGAAGATGGTTATGGTTGTTTGAAATCAGTCATCTTAACTTCATGACATTTCTGCAGATGTTTCTCAGGGTCGTGTCTTAGGCCCAACTACCTTCCGGTGCTTCTTCAGTGACCCCTGCCCCCCACCCAGATCATGGATCAGAAGTGGGGATATCTGCTGATGATTGCAGTTTTCACCATTTGTGACTCTTCAGATACTGAAACAGTCTGTCAAAATGCAGCAAGACTTGGACACTGTCAACCAAACCTAGACAATTAGCAAGTAACATTTGCATCATACAAATATCAGGCAATTACCATCTCCACCAAGAGTCAATCTAGCTATAGTCCCTTGTTGTTCAGTGGCATTATTATCACTGAATTCCCTACCATCAATGTTATGAGATTAGCTTTGGTCAGAAGTTGAACTTGTGCCCATAGTATTTATATGGGTGTTCAACAGGATGTCATAGGCTAGGTACCCTTAGCAGTAACTCACCATTTGACTTTCCAAAACGTGCCCACTATTTAGAAGACGCAAGTCGGGAGTGTGATGGAATGCTCCCAACTTGTCTGGTTGAATCCAGTTCCAACAACACTCAAGCTTGACAGCATCCATGGCAAAGCAGCCTGTTTCTTTGGCATCACATCCACAAACATCCATTTCCTCCACCACTAATACCCAGTAGCAGCAGCTCTGGAAATTCACCAAAGCTCCTTAGACAGCACTTTCCAAACCTGCAGCACCTTCTATCTTGAAGGACAAGAAAAACAGATACGTGGGAAAATAACCATCCGCAAGTTACTCCCCAAGTCCCTCACTGTCCTGTCTTGGAAATATATTGCTTTTCCTGCAATGTCCCTGGGTTAAAATCCTGGTACCAGTTCCTTTAACGTCATGGTGGATCTGCTTGCACAAAAAGGACCACAACAGTTTAGCAGACAGCACACCATCACCATCTCGAGGGCATCTAGAAATGGACAGTAAATGCTGACCCAGCCAGTAATGCCTACATCCCATGAATAAACAGCACATATTGTACTCCTGTACCCTCTTGGTTAAAAACCCTGTTGGAATGATGGAAATCCTGCAGAATCAACTGGAGTTGCTGGGATATGTTTATTGTTTTAAGTGTCAGATCCAAATACCTTCAAATTATAACCTTAGAACATTATGCATATGTTGTTCATTTTCATCTAATAGCATTTAGCCATCCTGTTATTTATGGCTGACATGATTAGAAAGGGCAAATAGAACATAAAAGATGGCTGGAGGTGTAAATCTGACACACTGTTTTGTATTTTCATAAGTGAGAGGCACTACATTGAAAAGGTAGGTTTACAAGTTAGAGCTTTTAAACTTTCCATGTGTTTAGTTTTTGGTACTTCATTTGATTATGGTGTATTGAGATTGCTATTCCAAGCTGTCTGTCTTTTCTCCCACACTTAAGTTGATTTTTTCTTTTGAAGACCTCCTTCTTTAATTGGGTAAAGAGATTAGAACGATACATATTCATTATTAAAATCAATGATCATGAGCAAGTTTCTTCAGTCACTTTTAATTCAGTTGCTTTTAAACTATTAGATTCTGGAAATTGTCCCAATTATATTATTGATATTGACTTTATAAAAATCAAACAGACATTAACTTTGGCACTCCTTACTATGAATAGTAATTCTGCTGTACAATTCCTTTCTATACTAAATTGCAGTTCTTGTTTTACTTTTAGTATAGTTCACTTAATATTGCCTTGTAAGTTTTTTTTTTTCTTTATTTTCATTTGCAGAATTTGATTACTAGCCTAGCTTATCCTAATGCAAGTGACTTGTTCTTTTTAAATATGGTTTCTGTTACAGAGCTATCATCATATCTGGGGGACCAAGTTCTGTCTATGCAGAGGATGCTCCATGGTTTGATCCAGCGATATTTACAATTGGCAAGCCAGTCCTTGGAATCTGCTATGGAATGCAGGTACTATGGACAGATTCACATCATCATAAATACATGTTTGATAAAGATTTAAGGCTGACCAAAGCATTTTACTTTTATCTGCACTTTTTTGTCAGGGTATTATCATGTAACATTGCTTAAACCTGTTTGAGCTAAGTCGTGTAGTAGTGACTTTTCACTGACGTGTAGCGTGGTTTTAATCCGGTGTCTTGGGCTTGTTATCTGCTCAGCAGTGGGCAAAACTTCAAATGTTATGCAGGAGGAAAATTTAAACATAACAAACTACCTTTCATTTGCACTCACAGATGATGAATAAAGTTTTTGGAGGTACAGTACACAGAAAGAATGTGAGAGAAGATGGTCTGTTCACAATAAATGTGGACAATAGCTGTTCACTGTTCAGGTACTGATGATTTATTCCAATTCGCATGTTTTTGACAAGCATTCATGCCCTGGGTTATACAGTATGAAGGGATTTAGTGGGACACAGACCAACACACTTTGTATAACCCAATGTGAACATGTTTAGTGACACCGAAAGACACTTACTCTCTGGGTTAAATACTGTGAAATGGTTCACTGCTCACTCTGTGTTATACATTGTGAAGGGGTTTAGTGGCACTGAGAGACACACTCTCTGAGCTATGCAGTGTGAATGGATACTGTGGGACACAGACACTCACTTTCTAGGTAAATGGAGAAATTAACAACTGAATCTGTCTGGTCAAGAATGGCACACTGCTTATTGCAGAGTCTGGAATTCAGTGTCTAATATATTACTGTTCTGTGCTAATTAAACCAGTAAAATGTTTGGAAAGGAAAACTGGAGACAAGTACTACTTAAATCTTCATTTGGTTTTTCTATGTTAAATCCTTATTTGTGCCTGTCTGTTTATTGGAGAGGTTTTGTAATAATTGACACTGAGATTCTTTTGCCATTATATGACTATCTTTTGAATACTCAGACTACCAATCATTTAGCCTATGCTTTTGTAGCTAAATTGTTTACATTTTTTTCTTGTTTGTCTTAAAAAGAGCATAAAAGTAATTTCCAATAGAACCAGGAATTTCATATTGGCTTTGTCGTTAATGAGTAAAATCTTCTTGTGTAATTTGTGACTTATTATTTAGTCTCCTGTATTTCTTTATTTTTCCTTCTGTTAGAGGTCTCCAGAAAGATGAGCTTGTTTTGCTCACTCATGGTGATAGTGTGGACAAGGTGGCAGAGGGATTCAAAGTTGTTGCGCAATCTGGAAACATTGCAGCAGGTATATTTAGTAGTAAATAGCTTGTGAATCCCAGCTTAACTATGTTAATTTATGATTTGAATGTAATGTGACAGATCCATTGTATTAGAGTGGAAACTCAGCACTTTATCTATGCTGTTATTATAAGCAGGGTTTTATTTTTCTTTCTTTTGGTGTTGCAATTTCTTTTTGGACATTGTAGTAACCTGTTGCTAATAAATTTTCTCAGCTGAGACACAAGAACTCCAATGGAATCCTGATGCATTCTGGAACTCTTAAAGTTGTCTTGTAATGCTTGGAATGTCTTGAGTTGGGAGAAGTGTTATTTTGGGGGGAAAAAAAAATCTTGCATAGAAAGGAAGACTGTATTTCCTCCTACCTTAGTCAAATTCTACCTATTTCTTGTGAACTTTGAATGGAGGAATGAGCAAACTAGTTTTGTAAATGTTTTCTGCTACCTGATCAAGCTCTGGCCAGCGGTGCTTTTTGTTTGACTGTTTGTTTCATTAATATTCAATAAAATTACATCAATTAATTGATTTCAGACATTACCTTCCATCTTGAAATTGCTTTAAAATTTCCTTTACAGATTGAGGTAATTAGCTGACCTATCTATAATCCATAATGGAGTATTTGAATTTACAATGCAGTCTGTCTGTTCATTCTAAAGTGAAATATGTATGCACGTTTGTGGGCAATGAACTGTAATTACCTATGACAAAGCAGTAGAATTCAAAGTACAAGAAACTGCTGTCTTTGGTAGGTGCTGTACAACAATGTGAGTGTTGTGCACAAAAAGGTAAAATGAGAGTAAATTTGAAGATGCTGCACGTATCTAATGGTTGGTTTCCCACCAGGATTAGCAGAGCCTGTTGTGTGAGCTACAGTTTTTTAAAAAGTCTCACCTTTTCTAACCTTTGCTCCATGCTAGTGTCTGTTTTTAGGTCATCAGGTGCTCCACTCTGCTACCCAGCAGTAAGGAGCTGTGTGTGATTAACTAGTCAACGTGGTTTCCCCACAGAGACATGTGAACTTAAAAGCATAGAAGCTGACTGGTGCAAACTTATCTTCTACCACTGAATAACACAAATATATTTCTGTTTTTGTAAAGCTCCCTCTTTTTAAGGGGAATGCTTTGAACTGCCTAGTTTATGGAAGTAAAAGCAAATGAGAATGCGGAGTATTAGAAGAAATTTATACTCGGTCCTGTGCAAAAGAATATTTTAAAAATGCAAATGTTGATTTTTCTGTTAACAGCGATTGCGAATGAATCCAAGAAACTCTATGGTGTTCAGTTCCACCCAGAAGTGGATTTGACAGAGCATGGGAGAGATATTTTGAAGAATTTCTTGTTTGATATTGCTGGATGCAGTGGGACATTCACAGTTCAGAGCAGAGAAGTAGAATGCATCAGAGAAATACAAAAGAAAGTAGGACATTCCAAAGTTCTGGTAAGCTTTATTTATTAATAGTGTAAAATTCCAACAAAAATGAAAATGTTCTTTTCGTGACACTGAACATGTTTGTGTTAAGCAGTATTGGGTTTCCCAGTTTAGAAATTCTAATAGTTGTCATTTGATCCGTAGGTACTACTGAGTGGTGGAGTAGATTCGACAGTGTGTACAGCTTTATTGAATAAGGCTTTGAACCAAGATCAAGTAATAGCTGTTCACATAGACAATGGTTTCATGCGAAAAAGAGAGAGCCAGTCTGTTGAGGAAGCCTTGAAGAAACTTGGTATTAAAGTCAAAGGTAAAGATGCAAAACAAAATGTAACTGATTTCAATGATCAATAAAACTATAAAATTGTTCAGATAGACGGAGCATGTCTATCAGGAATATTTACGGACCTACCTGTATAGTAGAGCATAGTGCACAAATTTAGAAAGGGTATTAAAGCCACAGAGTATAGTTCAGATTCACGAGGGTGACAACAGGGAAAGGAAGTTTTCATTGAATAAAGATTTGAGTGCTAGGTCTGTGTCCATTGCAGATGTGATTTAAGGGGATATAATTTAGTTATGATAGATTATGGTAAAATAAATAGGAAAATAGTGTACTGAAAAGAAAAAGCCCATAGGATTTAAGGGAGAGTGGCAAGAAAGAACCAAAATTGGTTCAGTGCCTGGAAGCAGAGGATATTGATCAACTGATAGTTTTCAGACTGTTTGCAATTGAGTTCTGTCGGTCTTAGTGTAAGGTACCTATGCAAGGTACCCTGTTGTCCATGAATCAATTACTTCAGATTTAAATGTATGGAATATGGTAGATAAGTTTGCAGGTTGTGGAACATTGACTGTAAGGTTGATGGTGAGTAGGAAGGCTATAGATTGTAGGAAGCTACCAGTGATCTGGTCAGGAAGATAGGAAAGTGTCAAATGAATTCAAACCAGAGAATTGTGAGGTAATGAATTTCAGAAAAGCATACAAGGGTAGCAATTAAATGGCAGTTAATGAGAATTGTAAAGGAACACAGGGTTTTTGTCATGCTTTCCAATAGATCCCAAAAGTAGCAAGGCAGCTTAGATGATCAGGGCATACAGATTAAGTGTTTTTTTTTATTGGCTAATGCAGAAAATGGCTTTCTTTTGTCCTGTAAATTTCTATGATTCTGTGACCAACATCAAGTTCAGAGCCAATTTTCAATTGTTATGTGGAAATGAGAGGCAATAAAACTGGTGGTTCTGTCATAGAAATGTTCCATACTTAATTCCTTTGAGTACAGCCAATTGATGTTTGTAGTAAACTCGTGTAACATCAGCAGGCTTTTGTAAAATTCCCCGGTATTGCTTTTTCTGCCACATCTGAAACAAAATTTGTTTGCGGTCCTTTCCTCTATCAGTATTTGTATATACCACTTGCCCTGCTATCCTGGATTGCCATTTGGTTAAGTGGCAATACCTTCAGATTGCCAATCATTAGTACAACAAGCAAAATACTGGTCTAAGTTGTTACAATAAGTTTTTCTTTTAAAATTTACAGTGGTTAATGCAGCACATGCATTCTACAACGGTACAACAACTCTGCCAATTTCAGAAGAAGACAGAACTCCCAGAAAGAGAATAAGTAAGACCCTGAATATGACAACAAATCCTGAAGAAAAAAGAAAAATAATAGGAGATACTTTTGTGAAGGTATATTTAGAATTAACTTTGTAGCATTAACAAAATTAATTCTGTCCCCATGCTCAAATGTTTTGATTGTACTTTGCACATATTTTAATGAAAAGTACACATTTACTTTCTCTTTATTCTAGATTGCAAATGAGGTAATTGGAGAAATGAATCTGAAGCCTGAAGAAGTGTATCTTGCTCAAGGTACTTTGAGGCCAGATTTAATTGAAAGTGCTTCATTAGAGGCGAGTGGGAAAGCTGATGTCATCAAAACTCATCACAATGATACAGAACTGATAAGAAAATTGAGGGAAGAGGTCAGTGATGTCTTTCAAGGTTTCTCTAACAGTTTGGCTCACAGGGATGAGCTTATTCTGCAGCTTCAACTGACATTTTAAAAAATGTTTTAAATGGTATTCTATCTCTTATTACTCAAGCTTGCATTAGTAAGCTATTGTGTATTTACAAGTGTCCCATGAAGTCAGACCACCTTAATCTCAATTATCTAGTAAGTACATTTTACAGTTTGAGTACGCATGTGTGGATCTTTTATTCTGCAGGGTAAAGTGATTGAGCCCCTAAAAGACTTTCACAAGGATGAAGTGAGAGCATTAGGCAGAGAGCTGGGTCTTCCTGAAGATGTAATTTTGAGGCACCCATTCCCAGGTGAACTTAATACATATTCCTGCTCTTATTAAACGAGAAGTCATTCCATTCTGAATTTGCCTTGTTTCATAAATAATTTATGGTTTACATTTTTTTTTTTTTTTTAAAAGGACCCGGTCTTGCTATTAGAATAATCTGTGCTGATGAGCCTTACATTTGCAAAGACTTTGCGGAAACTAATAACATTTTGAAAATAGTAGCTGATTTCTCTGCAAGTGTGAAAAAGGTAAGTTATGATGAATATTCCTTGCCACTTTGCATAAAATTATTAGTGGATGTTTTATTCTTAAACACAAACAGCATTTATCATTTCAGTTTTAACATGACCACCATATATCATATACAATAAAAAACAAAAGAACTGTGGATACTCTAAGTCAGGAACAAAAACAGAAGTTGCTGGAAAAGCTCAGTAGGTCTGGCAGCATCTGAAGAGAAATCAGAATTAATGTTTTGGGTCTGGTGACCCTTCCTCAGAACTGTTTTGTTTATGCACAATGCAAGATAATCGGTCTCACCTGTATGAAACACTTTTCACACCTTTTTACATTGCCCCATATAAATGACTTACAATATCCTAACTTTCAAAAGCCAAATCACTTACTGCAAAGGCCATACTTTGATCATTGTGCTCCCTGACCGTCTTGTGGTAGGCTCACCATAATTTGCTGTGAACATATATTAGGACATGATATAATGAATGCATAGCTTATCTGGAGCAATTAGTATTTTGTACCTGCTCAAGGACATGAAACAGAATTAACTGTTACTTTGTATATGTTCAATGATCTATGTTTCCCTTTCTTAAATTTCAAAATTGATTGTAATGGAGTTAGATTTTATTCAGTTCCAATTTTCAATAACGAGAAATTGTTACAATGACTGCCTAATGATGTTGCACGTCCTGGTGTCTGGTTGATTTGGATCTCTGCTTTATAAGCTATAAAATTAAAGCATGGCTGATCTGATAGTCAGGCTGAAGCTGTTATTTCCATGCAGTCTAACACTTTGTGCAAAAGTGACTGGAAAGAAATTGTTCCAAATTAGCTGCATTTGATTATAACACTGCAAATTTTTCAAATACGTGGAGTTGCATTAGTGGGAACTTCACCTAAGTAGTATCAAAACCTGCTGAGCACTTGAGTATTTCCATCGTTCTAAACCCATAGTGTAAAAATAGTCTGTGTAAATAAGAGTCATAGTCATACAGCATGGGGGGAAAATACCCATTTGGTCAAACTTGTCCGCACCAACCAGATAACGATTTGGATGCAAATAAAGTAGCCATGGTTAGTAAATTTGCAGATGACTCCAAAAATTGGTGGTGTGGTGGACAGTGAAGAAGGTTATCGAGGGTACAATGGAACCTTGATCAAATGGGCCAATGGACTGAGGAGTGACAGATGGAGTTTAATTTAGATAAATGTGAGGTGTTGCATTTTGGTAAGGCAAACCAGGGCAAGACTTGTATAGTTAATGGTGAGGCCTTGGGGGTGTGTTGCTGATCAAAGAGATCTAGATGGTGCAAGTGCATAGTTCCTTGAAAGCGGAGTCACAGTTTGACAGGGTAGTGAAGAAAGGGTTTGGTATGCTTGCCTTCATTGGTCAGTGCATTGAGTGTAGGAGTTGGGCTGTTTTGTGCAGCTGATATCTGGTCGGTGTGGATGAATTGGACCAAAGGGTCTGTTTTCATGCTGTCTAACAGTATGACTGTATATTCTAAACTTATCTAGCCCCATTTGCCATCATTTAGCCCATATCCCTCTAAATGCTGCTTATTCATGAACTCATCTGGATGTCTTTTAAATGTTGCAATTGTACCCGCCTCCTCCTCCACGTCTGGCAGCTTGTTCCACATGTGCGCCACCCTCTGTGTGAAAAAGCTGCCCCTGAGGTGCCTTTGTAAACTTTTCCCCTCTCACTTTAAATCTAAATCTATGCCGTTTAGTTTTGGAGTCCCCTACCCTAGGGAAAAGACCTTTTGCTATTCACCCTATCTATGCCCTTCATGATTTTATAAACCTCTATAAGGAAGCTCCAGGGGAAAAAGTGCCAGCCTATTCAGCGTCTCCCTATAGCTCAAAATAAGGTAGTACACTTATCATGGATAAATTTTAATTTTCACGTAGATTGGGAAAACCAATTGGCGAACGTAACCATAGGAAATAATTCAAAGAATGTGTACATAGTTTTAGGAAACTATATGTTGTGTATCCAACTGGGAGTCAGCCTATTTTGGATCTGGTAATATTTAATGAAGCAGGTTTAATAAATGATTTCAGAATAAAAATCCTCGAGTGAGCAGTGACCAAAATATGATAGTGTCTAGCATTCAGTTGGAGAGTGAGAAACTTCAGTTGGAAAAAACTGTGCTAAATTTAAATGAGAGTAATTACATAGAATTGAGGGAGGGAGTCCAAAAGCATGTTACTGTGGACCGATTAGCCTAAAATCTATTTTTGGAAAAGTATTGGAATCAATTATTAAGGAAGTAATAGCTAGACATTTGGAAAATCATAATCTAATTAAGAACAGTCAGCGTGGCTTCATTAAAGGGAAATTGTATCTAACTAATAGAATTTTTTGAGGAAGTCTCCATTGTACTGCATAGACGGGCACTGGTAGGTTTGTTGTATTTGGACTTTCAGAAAGAATTTGACGAAGTACCTCACACAAGATTACATCGTATGACAAAGGCACGTAGTGTTGGAGGTGGTATATTGGCATAGATAGGGAATCGGCTAATGGTCAGGAAACAGAACGGAGATAAGGATTTCTTTCGGGTTGGCAACCTGTGACCAGTGGGTATATAGGTTGTTAGTGGGCAAAAATTTGGAAGTTGTTGAAGTAGTGTTTCTCACAATCTCTGCAGGGAATCTTACAGATGACATTGGTTCTGTCCATAGTGGGGAGTGGGTCTTTGGTTTGGGTGACCCACTCCCCACTTTGGACAGGACCAGTGTCATCTGTAAGTTTCCCTGCAGAGACTGAGAGAAACACTTCTTTCGGACAACAGGAAGGAAACTAACAACAAGGGTACACTAACACCAACTGTCTACAAAAAGACACGACCAATACTCATTGATCTCTATCCACATGGGTAAGGAGAACCACCAATTCGACTGGGTCAACACCAAAATCCTGGGACGTGCTAAGCAGAGACAGGCACGGGAATTCCTAGAAGCCTGGTACGCCACGAAGAAAGCCATCAATAAATACATAGAACTTGATTCCATATACACTCTACTACGAAGGAAAACCAGAAGTGAGGCAATCCAGCTCAATGGACTCTAGAGTTTAAAGACCAAGCGGGAAAACACACCGGCGCTTCATTGGAGGTTGCACTGATGATGTTATCCAGCAGGGTAATGAAACGTCTGCGGAGCAACAAAACAGTTCGGCAAGCCAATCAACCACAACCTGAGCTACAAATCTACTCCAAAACCTTAGACATCTAGGTTGACCCCAGGCATGAAGGGACCATCTTATGAGCAGAGGCTGAATAGCTCGTACTGGAGTTTAGAAGAATGAGAGCCAACCTAATTGGAACCTACAAGATTCTTGGGGGATTTGACAGAGTAGACGTGAAGAGATTGATTCCAGACACACCTCCTACAAAGGGAAACCAGGGGCATACTCCCAGTAAGGTTCACCCATTTCAGACAGTTCGAAATAATTTCCCTGAGGAATATGAATCTGTGGAATTCTTTTACTGCAGGAGGCTGTCATTATGTATATTCAATAGTGAAAGACTGATTCCCTTACTGATTAGAAACCAATGATCATGTGGATAAGGCAGGAAAGTGCAATTGAAGATTATCAGATCAACTATGATCTCAAAAAACGGCAGGCAGTCTCGTTGGGCCAAATGTCCTTTTTCTGCTCCGATGTCTTGTGGTCTTATGGTTTCAAAGCACTGGCAATCAGTCCTATTTACTTGGTGAACTCCAACGTTGTTGACATGAGGACGACAGGCTGTGGTTAGAGGCATAGTCATTCTCCGTTGATCCCTTTCAGTGAAGGTCTTTGGCATAATACAGAAGTCCTGACAAATTATGAATTCATTTAGATAATGCCATAAGTAAACCTGTCATGGTGCTTTTGGAGTTTTAGCAAGTGCAATTGATGTGAGCAGCAGATTACAAGAATGCTATTGTGACGCAAGGTTTCAGAAGTTTGGTGCTCAAAGTCTATAACCCAAAGAGAGACATTGTACCTTTTTTCAATAATAACATAAGTTTGAGTAATTTAATACAAAATTCTGATAAGCACATTTGTGCTGTCACGGATTAAAAGTCACCATGTCATAAACAATGATGTAGATGGATATACATATACGAACATTTTTAAATTCGTGCCAGCTACTCAAAGCTTTGCTGACACTGATGCATTTTGGGTGGACTAATATGAAAAACAGTACATTTTAAAATTCATTGGTCATCTATTTTTTATGAAATGCTGGGACTGGTTCCAGAAGCTCAAATTCTAAAAATGGGACAGATAAGATAGTTATGGAATGTGGTTGACTTGCATTTGTTTTTTTAAAAAAAAAAAGTGCAGATTATGGAAGTGGAGCAAATAATGTTGGAGGTGCCATCTGGACACTCCTGGGCACACAATTTCAGAAATGTTGTGAAGGCCTTAAAGGAGTCACAGAAGTTTGCAGGGATGAGAAACTTCATGAAGAGTTGGAGAATGTTAAAGCTTATTAATCTTGTCTGTTCCTAAGAGAGAAATAGTCTATTGAATGTTTTCAAGAAAAACTTTGAAAGATTAGGTAGAGGAAGAACTGTTAATTTAGCAAGTCATTAACTTAAGACCAAAGATTCAGAATAATTAGTGGAAGATCTAAATGGTAGATGAATAGAAATATTGACGCAAACAATGGACTCGAATCCATAAATTTTAATACAGAATTGTTTGGGTACTTGAGGCTGATGAGCATTTGGCTTATGGGCAGCAATAAAATGTGGGCTAAGTGTGCCTGCTCTTTGAAAGCGAATGAACTGACTGGCCACCTTCTGTGATACTGTAATTTTTTTTCATAATTACAAAAAATGTTTTCTATATCGCTGCACAAATACTGGTGCAAGGTTATTTATGCAGCTTTACATGTTGATGATATACCTAAGCATTTGTGCTAGTTTTCAATAGAAAATGTGAATCTAAAGATGTTGGGAAGTCATGATATCATGTTCTTCTGCAGCCGCACACACTATTGCAAAGGGTCAAGTCCTGTACGAGCGATGAAGAACAAGAACAGTTGATGCAAATTACAAGCCTGCATTCACTTAGTGCTTTTCTTCTGCCAATTAAAACTGTTGGCGTACAGGTTAGTGTTGCAACGTAAATATTACAAAAGAAGTCAAATGCCATTTAGAGATAGTAGGAACTGCAGATGCTGGAGAATCCGAGACAACAAGGTGCAGGGCTGGATGAACACAGCAGGCCAAGCAGCAGCATAGGAGCAGAGAGGCTGACATTTTGGGCCTAGACCCTTCATCAGAAAAGGGGGAGGGGAAGGGGGTTCCGAAATAAATAGGGAGAGAGTGGGAGGTGGATAGAAGAGGGATAGAGGAGAGGATAGGTGGAGAGGAAACAAACAGGTCGAAGAGGCGGGGATGGAGCCAGTAAAG